ATGTAACCACTGGGATAACTGGGTGAAGGGCACATGAAACCCCTCTGAACTATCTTTAAAACTTCCTGCACATCTATAATTATTTCAAAATAAAAAGTTTTTAAAGGGCCGGCTGAGTGGCGCGTTGGTTAAGAGCTGGCTTGGGACGCCAGAGGGCCCCGGTTCGGATCCCACATGTGAGGGCCAGTGACACTGCCCTCTACAGCTAAGATGCTGAACAACAGCTCAACCTGGAGCTGGGCTGCCATGAGTCGCTAGCGACGGCGTAGGCTGCAGCCCCTGCTGCAGTGGGTTGCCATGGGCTACCGTGTGTAGCCAGCAGCCAGCGTGAGCGGCCAGCAGCTGCCGTGAGCAGCCGTCCAGAAGCTGGAGACTGATATGCCTCGCCCGGGAAGAGCGCAATGATGGTGCCAACTTGGGCCAGTAAAGCAACGTCCTCCACAACTAGATTGAAGAACAAAAGGACAGCAACTTGTCTGTTCCCCTTCCCCCAATTCCCCAGTGCTGTTCCCATCCCCCAATTCCCCAATAAAAATCTTTAAAAAAAAGAAATAAGAACGTTTTTAAAAAAAACAAAAGCAAAATAACCTCATGACTGTTATTAATCAAGGGCTGCTGATTTTTTTTAATATAAATACATTCAGATCATTTCAATTCACGTGAGAGACCAGAAAATGCACAAGTAACAAAGCATCTATGCTCCAGATACTCAAGCTAGCTCCTTCTTAATTCAGCCGACAGCGCCAATGACAAAATAAGATCATTCCCAAAGCTGGCTCAGGCATTTGTAAGATGCTCCTGAACCCATCACAGTTCAAGTCTGACTGAAGGCAAGGAAGAAAAGTTTTAAAGTTTACCCCATTATTTTCGGCAAAACAAGGATAACAGCCAGTCATTTTCCCACAGCATTATGATAATGTATTAACTAGTTATGTCTTTGACAACAATCTCAAAGACAGCTCCTAAAGCATAACTCAAGTCATTTAAATGAAGATTTTTTTGAAACGGCAAAAAAAAGTTCATTGACACTGGAAGTGCTGTGGTAGAGGGGAAAGGACATTGACTTTGGAACCAAAGGGACCTGGAGTTAAATCCCAGTTGTGCCATTTTGGAGCTTTGTAGCAAACCTTTCTGAGCTTTGGTTTGCTCACTGCTAAAGAGGTGCTAACAATGCCTGTTTCATAGGATTGTTATGAAGATTAAATGAGATGCTATCATAAGTGTCTAGCACACTGTCTGGCACACAGATGCTGAACAGAGCTGTAATTTCTATTATTGTAACAGCCAGGGGTTGTAGAAATTAGTAAACTTGGGCTAACGTGAGAGCTATGATGTGGCCCCCAGCCAGACACGGTCAGTGCCCAAGCTTCTTTAAATTAGATGCAAACACAAGATCACTATCAGTGCCTATCCAGAGCACCCGGAGAGGTCTTGCTGCTCCAGCATTCAGCACTGCCATGGCTTCTGAGCTTCTGCAGGTATCTGACCTCCAGCAGCACCTCTGCCTTGGCAATGCCACGTATAAATGCAGGCCAATGTTGCTATGGGGGTCAAGGGAGTGAAAACAAAGCAATCTTCATTCCAACTGAGAACAGGAGCCAAAAGAGGTTGTATTTTCAAACACATCTGATCAAAGGCCTCCTGCCCTTGGCTATAAGAGCTGTTGTAACTAACATGGTAAGGTTTCTTAGCAACAGTTTATTCAGGGAAGGTACAGGTGTGCCTCAATAAAAGCACACTCTATATATGAAAATCCACATGTATGTAAAATCTAAATTTAAAAGTGACTGTGCTTTGCAAACTTATTTGGTGTCTGAAGATGTGATTAAATTTAAATTCATTCTATCTTACATACACATGCAGGTATATGTCAAATGTAGAATACTACAGAGGTCCTACCTACTCAGTGTGTAGGTAGGTGTGTGCAGCAGCATTGTCACCTTGGAGCTTCCCGAAATGCAGAATCTGGGACTCCACCCACCTCCATGAACCACAATCTGCAGTTTAACAAAATTCCCAGATGATCTGTGCATATTAAGATTTGAGGGGCCAGCCAAGTGGCTCAGTTGGTTAAGAGCATGAGCTCTGAGCAACAGGGTCACCGGTTCGGTTCCCACATGGGCCAGTGAACTGCACCTGAGCTGAGCTGCCAACAGATGGCAGGATGGCTGAGAGCATGTGCTCCTAACAACAAGGTTGCTGGTTCGACTCCCGCATGGGATGGGATGATGGACCACGCCCTCCGCAACTAAGACTGAAGGACAACTTGGCTGTTCCCCTTACCCAATTCCCCAACACTATTCCCCTTCCCCAATTCCCCAATAAAAAAATCTAAAAAAATAAAAAAGATTTGAGAAGCCCTGTCCTAGGCAATATTTGTGACCCTAAAGCCAGAAGTTCTACCAATATAGTTACACATCAGGGCTTCTACTAGTGGTTCTCAATCCTTACTCCTTCTTACACATTAGAATAATAATTAGAATACTTATCTGAGTATGCTATTTTTCTTAACAAATTTTTTTTTCCTTCTTCTTTTTTAATACTTAGTCTGGATCCTAACCCAAGACTTGAATTTGAATGGTCTAGGGTGGGGCCCTGGTATTAGCATTTCCTTAAAGGCTCCTTAGAAGATTTGAACGCCAGTATTGTTGAGAACCACTGCTGCACTGTGATATAAAACTGACCCGCCAAACAATTAGGATTTTAAATGCATCATTAGAAGAAAACATTAAACTAAGAGATTGAGATGTACCTAGACATAAATCTTGCACAAAACAGTATTATATCAAGGTTGGTCTTTATACCAATTGCACCAAAATATTGGATTGTTGGAAAAGTCATGACGTATTTTTTCGGTTTTTCGTAGCAAAAATGTGTCATGACTTTCCTGACAACCCAATAGATTTTCCCTGGGCTAATAGCGAGCAATTGTTTCTGAAGCTCAAATACGGGCCCACTTTATTTTAACATGATCACAAATGACTACACCACCAAAAAGTCAAGTAACAACAAATAGTGTTGAAAACCTCATGGCACCTAACACCAGTAAGTCCTCAAGTAGACAGATGTCTGCCAGAAGATGAGAAACCTCTCATCTATAATGACAAACTTTCCTGTGCTTACCACATACACCCTTTTCAAGTTCTACCAAAAGCCCATAAATATCTCCTTCCCTGATCTGTTCAACTATAAAATTTCAAAGGGTGCTGGAGAAGACGAGGGCTGGGCCAGTAGGAGTAGGCAGCAGGGAGAAGAGGGAGGACCGAGGACTCACGAACGCAAGGATTCGGAAAAGCCAGTGGAGCGGGAAGGGCATCAGGGCGCCAGAGTGGGATGCGGGGCTACCGCAAAGGTTCCGGGTGTGACCACAGGAGGGGGCTGGTGGGGCAGGACAGAGGTGACAGGGTATCCCTGAGGGGCCTGAAATTACTGAGGATGGTCAAAGGAGAGGGGTTGAAGAGGAAGACTGAGTGAGATAAACCAGATGCAAAGTCCTTAGTGAACAAGGCAGAGGGCCTCATCCAGGTCCTACAGTAACCGCTGAGGGGTAGAGGTGTGACCAAAAGTAGGGTTGTCTGATCACCCCCAGCTCTTTCCAACTGCCTCTAGAGGATGAAGGATCCAGTATGGCCTGATATCCTCCTCTCTGACACATCTGCCTTTAACATGACTCAGCAGAGATCCAGAGGCACCAGCCCTCAACAAGCGTGGGGCCCAGGGTTCCTTCCCGGGGTGGGGCCTGCTTCTTTTGTCCTTGCTGCTAAAGGTGTAGGGGCAGAAAAGGGCAGAAAAGGGCCGGCCGAGTGGCTCAGTTGGTTAAGAGCTCGCTCAAGAGTTTGATTTCTGAGCAACAGCGGTTCGAGTCCCAGCCCGAACTGAGCGGCCGCTGAGCTGCCAACAGGTAGCAGGATGGCTCAGCTAAAAAAAAAAAAAAAAAGAAAAGGGCCGAAAGACTAAAAATTTACTCCCAACCTGCGAAGGAAATCATCAAACAAAATTTCTAAAAACTGGGAATTCCAAAGTCTTTGAAACTATTAAGTAACAAATAACTACCATCCTGGAAAAAACTGTCAGTTTGGGGAACTATCAGAAATAAATGAAACATGTCTTTTTTGTTCTATAGTCACCAAAGGCCTTGAACAGGAGCCAACAAAAGAACATAAGAATGACATATCAAATTAGCTGTAGCAACCATATATTTCATATTTTTGGAGACATCATCAACTTTAGATATTTTTATCCCATTATCTCTAAAAATCTGTATTTTAAAAATCTACTATTGATATCCTAACTACTTCCAGGGCTGTCTCTTACAGTCGTAAGTGGCACAAAGATGTTTATGCTCTATTACACAGCCCAATTTAATAATTACGATTATGAATTATGGATTTGTCCTATTTAGGGTGTAGTTCAGTCACCCTATTATCTTCTAGTTCTGAAACAAACAGCATTATGCAATAGAAGAAATACTACATCTAAGTCCCTTCCAGAGTCTCAATGCTGATTGTTCCAACACCGTTTCAAAATGTTTTTAACATGGAATAGACCAGAACTGGAGGACACAGGTGATACCCTTCCTCCCCAAGCCATATTCCAAACATGGCGTGGGGAGAGATGCAGCCTGAGCAAAGCACGCAGAGCCAGGGCATGCAGCCTCCCTCTCTCCTGGAGATGGGAGATACTTCCCCCTTTGAACAGAGCAGCAGTGATTCATCCCCAAGGTGAGTCTAGTCCTCACACAACAACAACAAAACCCAGATAACACCGACCCTTTTCCAGATTCCTTATAAAACATATTATCTACCAACTCTTGTTGTTAAGAGGACCCCATTTAGCCTTTGTAAGATGCCTGACAGTTGGTTTTTTTTGCCTCTGAATTTATTTTGTGGGGGCGGGGGGAACATTGTCTGAAAACTACTATTCTTAATAAGTAGTTCTATACACAGTTGAAAATCAAACAGTGTGGAAACAGAACATGTCAGCTGTATGTGACTTCATACCTCGGTCATCTTCTTACTCTGTCTTTTCCCAAAAATGCAGTCAAGATCTGTTTTGCTCCGAGATGACAGATCCTTCCCTAGAAAAACAACACAATGCCTTTTAGTAACACCATTCCTTCTAAAATGCGGAGCACAAATATCACCTATGAAACTCCTGAAAGCAAAATGGGTTTTGGAAAAGAAGCAATTTTATAAACTACTGACTTTCTGTTCCCCCCTTGACAGATTACAACTCTTTAATTAATAAATAAAATTAATTAAATTTTAAAATCACTTAAAAATCAGATCAAGTGTTTGAGCACCAGAACTTTTGATGTTCTCTGAATGGCAGAAACAACCAAGAGCATGAAGACTGAGAGGAGAATTAAATCCTAAAGCTACTCTCCTACTGGTATGCCTTCGAGGTATCATTTCTGGGCCCGTTTATGAAATAGATCTTACTTACTTCAAGGAGACATGAGCTACTTACTTAGGATTATAAAATGCAGAATAAAAAATGCTGCTAAATACATAGCTTCAAACCCCCACATACACACGTGAATGAGAACACACTGTATTTGACATAGAAGCTCAATAATCAATTGAACAAATGCATATTTAAAACGAATAAATGCAAATAAAAAAGTACCGTATTAGGGTGAATTTTAGATTTTTCTTTTAAAAAAATTTTTATTGTTATAGCTGTATCAGCTTTAAGTAACAGTATGCATGGTAAGAGCAGGAAATTAAATGGTTTCTGGCAACAGCAGTGGCCAAAAGACCCATGATTCTTATTAAAAACACTAAACTCTAACTTAATTTCAAACCCACAAACCAACTAATTTATTATAAAATTCACTTCTTTGAAATTTCCACTACTACCAAAAATACTCTGTGAGCAGTCAACCAAATCTATTCCCATTTGTCAGCTTCATGGTAAATGCCTTTTAAAATGAAGCTACTATAATACATGTAAAGTCTTGAGGCTCTGGGGGAGTGAAGCTCTGGGTTAGACACAGGAATTTCTGTTTTGAGTTGGAAGCCCGAGTTCCACTGTCACAGGCTCACTTGTCTTCTTGGTTTCCTGTAGCAAACTGACTTGGCAAAGTAATCATGACCCAGAAGGTTCTAGTTCACTGACTATCACCGGGGCATTCAAATATGATATTGCCCAGTGACTCCGTGAAATTAAAAAACAAAACACCCTTCAATTTAATGCAAAGCCAGGTGCCAAAACCAGTTTCCTAGGCAGCAATACCAGATTCAATGGTGCAGTCAGTGCTACCTGTTCCTGTCAGGAAGGACACACTCCTGTGTGGCTCTGTGCTGCTCTCTCCTTTCTTCCAGAGCTAGAAAGGAGGCCTCCCTGGTTCTAATTGTTTATTAAGTGGAAGCCAGACAAAAGACCCCAAAGGAAACCAACTTAACAACAAAATGAAGTGTATCCCAGAGAGAAACTCAAGAAATAAACCAGAGAAGTGGGGAATAAAATTGGTTGTGCTGGGGAGAAGTGGACAAACCGTCAGGGGCCCTACAGACCTAGTCTTAGTTTTGTCATCAGCACTGTCCATTTTGCACTGCAGAACTCATTTAGGGGAGCAGTTTATTTCAGAAAAAGGAGTTGTACTTAGTTCAAAATGTGTACAGGCCATCTATCCTAAACTATCTTCTGATACGCAACAGATACCCTAAAAGCAATGCAAATTAAGACCTCTTTTACAGCAATTCAACTAAAAGGGATGCTGGAGGGGTTAAGGAAGGGAGGGTACATGCAAGATTACAACTTTAAAACAGGATGTCAAAATATGACACATCTAAAAATCAAAGGGAAAACTGCCAAGCTGATAGATAGTGAGCTATACCAATGAAGGAAGGTTGCAAGTGTTTCTAAAGCTTTGGTGATGGGTTCTTGTTTCAGAAATTTTTATCCTCTAGCAAAGCTCCCTTAAGTAAATGTAGAAAGCAGGGTTGTTACAGGCCTTGCTCTGGATTTGATCTGGAAAACAAAACACAGAGAAGAATTAAGAGTCAGAGACCAATGGAAAGGAACTCCAACGTAGATAAAAATGGAAGATGGAAGCAATATAGAAATAGTTATTAGTTAGTGGTCCTGGTTGAATAGTTCATATATGTTATAAAATTATGGCCACTTTTGAATAAAATATACATATTAAAAATGAGTTGAAAAGCTTATTGGTCTCAGTTCTGAATTATAGTCAAATCACAGCAAATACTGTTGATAAACTTAGCTCTTAGAAGAAAAATGACAATCAAGAAATTAAACAGGCTAAGAAATATGTTATCTGTCTGGTTTTGGTTTGTGTATCTATTAGTCTTCAACTGGCCATAACATTTTGAGGACCAGGAAAAAAGGCTTCCAGTAGCCAAACTGATGTAACAAAGGTCCATGAAAGGATGAGCAGGTAGAAAAGCACTTTATGATCATTTTAGCTGTTTTTTTTAGTAATCATAAGTATCAGGTTTTCCCGTCTATCAGGGTAGCAAACCGGAAGGGAGAGCTGTTACTGCTATAACCAGACACGTACAACACCAAGTCCACATGGGAAGCAAATGAAACTATGAAAAATAAACATAAGAACTTAAGAATCACAGAGATTTGGAGCCCTTTAGTTTCAGGGCAGCAGTCATACATAGAACCCAACAAGTTCTAAGGAGAAAACTTTATTGTAACTGAGGCTCAAAAACTCGGAGTTTTTCTACTCAAGAGTAAAAGGGCAAGGGCAAAGAAACACAGGTTTGAGAAACGTGTTTATGAAAACAAAAATTAAGGCTTAGGTAGGCAGCTTCACTTGTTTAGAAAATTCATATGCATCCCCCAATCAAGAAGGATAAAACAGACAATATTATATTTATAAAAATGAAAACACATGGGACTGATAATACGCCTAGGACTTCACTACAAGGGTAATTAATACCAGAAAACCAGGAACCGTGAAAGGATCAGAGTAGGGGGTGAAATATAATCAGAGTCAGAATTTTTTAAAAGCCTGCAGTGGTGCAGCTTTTGACACTTATATTTAAGTGTCAAAAGAATCAAAAGAGGAAACTTCACACCCATCAGAGTCTAACCGTGGGCAGGAGTTAACCACGCTAGGGGAAGGACAAGTCTGTGTTTCCAGGCTAGCAAGCTAACAACTGCCGGGACATGTGTTGTGCATGTAGTTTCCTTGTTTAAGAAGCAAAATACTACAAATTGTCACAAGGATAGAGGTCTGAGTAAATTACCACGATGAAGTTGCACAACTACAGTTTGTGTAACTTTTTATCCACCCATTGCATAACCAGGGAGAAAAAAGCCATGCTGTCTTGACAACTGCTCACTGTATACAGAAAAACTTCAAGAGTGGTTTTGTTGAAATTGATATTTTTCCCTGTTGTTTCCTCTCTGCAGATATGGCACTGCCAAACATTTCTCGAATTAAAAGTAACCACGTTGAAGTTAGGCTTTTAAACAAATATGGATGAAAGTGACTTTTAAAAGTATATAATAAACTGTTTCAAATTAAAATAGTAAATGTAGGACTAGAGAAAGAAATAAGTATGTATCGGAACTAAAATGATATTGCCAATATTCAGGCAGGTGCAAATTTTACAGTGCTATTTGCTGCTGTAACCTCACCAAAGTAAAATGTTTATCATTGCTCTTCACACCAAGCTACATAAAATAACGTCTTCTAATGTTTGGTTTTCTGCACCAGTGATGGGTTACAATATGAATGATCCTCATCCAATAAGCGAAGTAGTTATTTTCATTATATGCACATCCACAGGCTAAAATCCTTATTATCCATAATGCTGAACAATCAAAAGTTCCATATAATGGGGTCATTTCTGATAAGCCCTAAAATAGCACCTATTTTAGAACTCAATAGTGACTTACAAACCTTTCCTCATTTTACAAAAGAGGAAACTGAGTGTGAAAGAAGGGAAGTGGTTAAGCGATTTGTCTGAGAGAGTGATGCCCAGGGCTCAGGTTTCCTGTGGCCTAAGACAGTCTACCTTAGAGGAAACTTAGCGTTTATCATTCATATCCAGGGACAATAGTTGCACTACAAGAAAACATTTCTTTTAGTAAATTAAAGAACTTTAAAATAAGCTTTCCCCGTGGGTTGTTAAGATGGATGGTGAATAGTTTCTTCACTGCCTGGACTTCTGCCTCCTTCTCCTATCTTTTCTATTTATGTCTCCACATGTCCTGTTTTCCCACTCAATCTCCTCTGCTACCTGACTCTCTTCCCCTCATACCTAATCCCCCTTTTCCCCAAGCAAGGCTGATAAACAAGCACACCCTATTTTAAAAGAGAGAAAACGAAGGCACCACACACCAAGCAGGCTGACAGGGTCGCTCGGCAAGGGAGTGGCTTCACTAGAAATAGAAAGCAGATACTCCTGGCATCCATTAGATTAAAGAAGACTAAGGAGGTTTATCCGGCTTTAGCAAATGCCTCAGACGAACTCATGCATGTAGTGAGGTGCTAAAAGAAAATTACAAGATTTTATTTGCAAAAGTGAAAGCTTAAAAGACTGCCATACCATTCAAAAGTTGCAGGTCACTTTTAATTTCATTAATTTGCTCGGCACCCTTCTGCTGTATCTCTACTTCTTTCTACAGGGTTTAATGAAGAAAGGAGGAATATATAACGGGTTGGGTATGAAGTTACTATTTAGCCTCGCCTCAAAAGGACTGATGGCCAAAAGGGCTGTTTTCTGTTCTGCAGCAGGTCGGGAGTGGACAAAAACCCTGATATGAAGCCATATAGAAAAACAACAAAGAAGGTTCTAGCCTGAGAGAAAGGAAAGGGAGAACACGAGAGCCATACGCACTCCACCTGCTGGGAGAGGGAAGGAGGAAGCACCAGTCTCACCTTGCACACACTCCCGAAGCTATTCAGCTCCCAACTCCATTCAGCTCTGCCACAGGCTCTCACTTAAACCAAACCCATTCCTACCTTTTGGAGTCCTGGCCCCAAATAAGAACAGCATTACTAGTTTAAAGTAGCAGGAATTCTAGCCGCCACTGCTATTCAGGCAGGTTCTAGGAAGTAGGGAATTCCCAATCATGCCAACAAGACTAACGAAAGAGATGTGATTTTCCTGGCATTTCGAGGTAGAAAAGTACATCCAATCTGCCATAGAGGACCATCCATCGGTGACTAGATATCACAACATAAATTATCATCATATTTATACTTTAAATAGATTATGTAATAAACAGGCTTTTGTGCCTGGAAAGTGCACTTAATGCATAATACTGTTCTATGGGAAAACATTTGGGGAGTTCATGATTCAAGTTAAATTGTTTTTAGCAATACAAGGCTGCCACCTAGTGGTTAAAGCCGACAACTGCACTCACAATTGACTACATGTCAATGGGGAAGGGAGTGGGGAGGTGGTGATGGACACCATGTTTTCTAACATTACTTTCACAATGACCATGGAATGCCAAATTAACACTCCATGAAATGAAGAAATGGTGTGGAATAATACAAGAGTCAACTTGGGAGCAAGAGTTCTCATACTGGAGACTCAACACAGAGCATAATTCTCTAAATTGACACATTTTAGGAGCTATTCAGCACCAACATTATGCTCTGAAAAACAAGAAAATGTAAAAAAAATGTTCAGCAATAAATTTAAATTATTTTCCGACCTAGCCATATAAAGTGCCTTTTCTCTTCTAAATAGCAAGTTGACTTCTGCTTTCAGCTTCGCCAAAGGATTTGTTGTACATGTTCTAAAACCGAATATGGGGCCCCATCTGAGCTAATGGATCTGAATCTGCTCTTTAACAAGGTCGCCAGGCGATTAACAATAAATGCTGAAACTTGAGCACTGCTTTAGATCAAGTCAGTCAGGCCATCCATAATCCCCCATTTTGTACATAAAACAAGAAGTGAAGCTGGTGAAGAGCTAAAAGTGCTTTAAGATGACACCTCGTGTGAACATAGAGGTTTCAACCCCAAATAAAGAAATGCTTAATTTTACCTTTTGTGAATTTCATATAATGAACACGGTTTTTGGAGATCTTGGACTTTTCTTCAAGGCTGAAAGATTTCTTTTCCTTGTTGTCTGAGGACTCTTTCAAAAAAAACAAAAAAACAAAAAGCATTACATTAAATTCTCTGTAATTCATTCTCATTCATTCTGTTATAGTGACGTGGTTTTATTTAAATAAAATCTTTAGGAGCTCTATCATTTATTACTGAACTCTAATCAAATGATAACAAATATTCTTCTTAAACTGTGTACTACATATCAGGCAAGGCTATTCTTTAGAAATTTATAAAATCTTCAAGGAAGAAAAATGAAAACTAGTGTTCACACAAAAACCTACATATAAATGTTCATAAAAGCCTATTTTTAATATTAAAATACTGGAAACAACCCAAATTATTCAAAGGGTGAATGGATGAGCAAATTCTGGTACATCCTTATTTTGGAATATTATTACTCTGCAATAAAAAGCAGTGAGCTATTGATACACACAACATATCAGATGGATCTCAAGGGCATTCTGCTTAGTGAAAAAAGTCAAGCTAAATACTATATGATTCCAATTATGTAACATTCTTGAAATGACAAAACTAGAGAGTTGAAAGAATTAATGGTTCCCAGGGGACAGAGATGAAAGTAAAGTGTTGGAGGTTAGAAGGATGGAAGATGGGTGTGACTACAAAGAGGCAGCATGAGGCAGCTCTTTTGTGGTGATGAAACAATCCTGTACCTTGATTGTGGTGGTGGCTGTATGTTATGTACACATGTGATAAAATTGCATAGAACCACACAGACAAATGAATGAAGCTACAAAATATGTTGAAAAATGGATAAGGTCTGTTGGTCTAGTTAACAGTCAACACCAGTGTCAATCTCCTGGTTTTGACATTATGCTACAGCTATATTAGATGTCACCATTGGGGAAAACTGGGTGAATGGTACTCAGGACTCTTCGTAGTACTATTTTTGCAACTTCCTATAAATCTGCAATTACTTCAAAATAAAAAGTTCTTTTACAAAGTGAATAAAAAAGGTAAGACAGGTTAAGCGTAAAGGAGCACAGCTGGCAATAAGCCACTGCCTCAAACACCAGATTTTACTGGAGGCTCACCTTCAAGGGTAAAAGCAAAAACAAAAAGAAGTCATTGAGGAATAAATTCATGGGGTTATTTCTTTGACAAAACAGGAAAATGTGAGCCAGAAAGGAGTCCCTTGGCTGAAATACAGAGCAAGTAGATCTGGAGTTAGAGTCAATTACAGGATAATAACGAGCTGCCTATATGTATTCCTTTATCTATTCATCAAGTTCAGGGAGCAGAGTACTGCAGAAACAGAATGTCAGAGGTAAAAAAAAAAACTGAATCTTCTTATAGTTATGTCAAAAGGAAATATAAATATGAGGTTAGAGCTAGGGGGAAAAAAGGAAAATTTGCCTTAATATTGGAGTAAGACAAGCACATGTCCATTGAACAACATGTTAGTTAATTGCAATCCTTTCTAGAAATTGGTGATTACAAAAGCAAAGTGTGAATTATATAACAAGGCTCTAACAACATAAAGATAGATGTTTCAAGCTTTCAGACAATGCCTCGCAACAGTTAATTATATCAACAGCCCAAGACTCTCTTCTGCAGTCACTTCCCAGGAGGAACTTGGGATTTTTTTCAAAGCCTTCCCACCGGTACATTTTCCTCCTTTTTGTGGCCAAGCACTGCATATGGCACATCACACTCTCAACTTTGATGTTCCAAACACCGATCATCTAGCAAGTTATTGGCTTAAAGAAGCTATTATCAACTGAAGGCTTATTAAAAGTACTAGGTCCTGGACCAAGAGCTTTCTGCGCATTTTTGTAATTCATTTTACAGCCATTCGATCAGGTAGCTGTTCTGATTATTAGACTTACTTCACAGAAGGGCGCTGAAGCACAGAGGGGTTACAGAAGGCACACCCAGGAGGTGGCTATGATGGCACTGACCCAGTGAGAGTGCACACTCTTAACCACTGCACCGTGTCCCTGCTAGAGGCGCTGCTCTCCCACGTTAGAGGGTGGAAGGATCACCTAGGGAGCTTCTCCAGCTTAACCAAGGACACAGACTTCCCACAGCATGCCCGAGCAGGGACAGACCTGAGAGCATCAGTTTCTATCTACCTGTCCGTGTGCACTCTTTCCTAAAACTGCTCTGATTCCTAGTGGGTACATAGATCTGATTCTCCGTCCCCGTGTCTCCCATGGGTCCTCCTTCCACTTTACAGCAGAAAGGAACCCCACTCTCCTCTTACCGGGGTCAAATAGGGACAAGCCAAAGTACTGGTGTCAGGATGTTTCCTTTAATGAAAGCAGCCTCCTTCTCACGCCAATCTGTCTCATGGAGAGATGCACTTCCAAAAAGATTTGGATAATAATTATTTATCAAAATGTATATGTTTCCTGGTTTTATTAATTAATCTACTAAGTATACTGACAACTTAAGCCAAAGGAGAAGTATTTATTTTGTGGCAGAGAAATAGGATAAAGTGATAAATTTTTTAAAGCTTAAGCAAAAAACATACTAACATAAAATACTATTGGGTATACACAATGGAAATATTATTTCAGAGGAAAAAGAACTATGAAACATAATATTTCTGACTATTAAAGAAGACTTGTCTATTGGGTGTCAAATTCCTCTGGTATTTATCATCCACTGGATACATTTGACTTTATTTTAAAACGCCAATATTTCCCAATAGGCCAGAAATTATCATACTTTCAATTATTTAAAGCTATGGTTAAAAACATTATAGATGTCAATATAAAAATTTGAGATAGGGTACACGGTTTTTCAAAATTCCCTGAGAAGATATGTGAGCAGAAAATTTGAAGACCCTTGTCCTCAACCACATCTTTGTGGATGGCAGGCTATCAGCGTCCCAGCTTTCTTCACAAGGACAAACTATCTGACAGAAGTAACAAACATGCCCTAAAACCATGAGCTAAGACCACCAAAAAGCTAAGCTGAGTCTGGCAAAGAGTAACTAATTGAGACAGGATAATTTTTTAAAGTGAAATTTTAAAGACTATACTGATTTCTGTGTCCCTCAAGGAGATAAAGGCTATTTCTAGAATCTTGCTAAGATTCTATGAAGAGGAAAATACGAAATCTCTGCTTAATTAAAGGAAAAGTATGTGAATTTGGTAAGCCATCTTAAGGAAGTAAAAATATTACAGCAAAAAAATGTTACTCGGTTATTGTGTCATTTGCTCTTCAGCTTTAATATGACCAAAAATTCACTGGGATGAATATACTGTATTTACCAAAGATGACATGGCAGAAAAATCATCTATTAGCTCTCCAGGTCCATTCCTTGGACAGGTTTTCCCTTAAAGGGATTTTCTAAAGGCTTTTCAGTACTGGGACTGGTAGTTAGCAAGGTCTGGCTGGTTCAGACATGGCTGAGCTCTAGATAGGAAGCAGGGCTGCCAACCGCATCTTCTCTATGGCAGGGCTACTGGCACCCTCTAGTGGTCTTGAGGTGGAACTTAATCCATAGATTAGTAACTCCTGTCAATGATTAAGATACTTCCATGTCTTATGTAGAAAAGGAAGAATCCACTTGCACAGATGAACCTGTGGACAGGGCTGCACAAGGACAAGGCAGAACCGCTTGGAATCTGTCACACACTTACTACCTTCCTGACAAATAACAGAGTTCCCTGGGTCACTTTAAATATTGTACTGACTGTACTGCAGTAATACATCAGGAAGGCCCAACTACAGCCCAAACTGGAAACAACCCAAAAGTCCATCACCACAAATTGTGGCATACTCATACATGGAATACTATCAGGAGTGCTATGAATTACTGAAAATGCAATCACATGGATAAAGCTCGGGAGCATGCTGAGAAAAAGAAGCCAGATGGAACAGAAGGCACAAATCTAATCTATAAAGACAGGTCAGTGGCTGTCTGGGGCCAGAAAATGGAGCGATGAGTAAGTAAGGAGTAAGGAAAGATGAGGAGTAAGGAGTAAGGAAAGTCACCCAAGAGAATTCTTTGGAGTGATGACAATTTCTTTATCGTGATTATTATGGTTCCAAAGGTATACATATTTGTCAAAACGCATGGAACTGCACCCTCAGAAAAGGGTATATTGTACTGTATATAAATTATACCTCAATAAAGTTTACTTTACAAAAAGATTCCAGGGAGAGTCCTGCTTCCAGTAATGGTGAGTGGCGAATTTCGGCCACCTCTTTTGCCTAGAAAACCAGACAAAATATTGGGGGTGGGGGTGGGGGGGTTATTACTCAAAGATATTACTGTGAAGCTAACAAAGCAGTAAAGAATTACGGACTCAGGCATAAAGAAATCCAGAGGAGGTGAGTCTGGCATTTGGGGCTTTTTGCCCCGTTGATGGCCTGTCAACTCTAGAAGAGGCAGCTGAGAGGTTGAGAAACTAAGCAGAATGCATGCGACTCAAGGAATGTCAAAAGTTTTTTTAAAAAAAGAGACTAGGAGAACTAAAATCAGTCTGTATAGAAAATTTGAAGTTTGCAGCAAAGGAGAGCAGAAGCATCAGGAAGTAACAGTAAATGATGTAAACGGGTCAAGAAAAAGTTTCTAAAATTAGTTTTTAAACAATCTTTTTGAGTAGGACATAATGCACACTGTACAAAATTCTAAAGGTACAAAGGGACTATAATAAAAGCTAAGGTTTCCTCTCATCCTGTTCCCGTCATTAACTCCCCTCCCTAGAGGCAATCACTGTCATCAGTTTGTTAAGCATTTTTCCGGAGATATTCTAAGTATATAAAATACATACACAATAGATATTCTGAAGATATTGTATGAACATCAGCATCACTGGCATTGTGGTAATTCTGTCATCGGGGGCTGTCCTGTGCACTGCAGGTTATTAAGCGGCATCCCTGAGCTCTACACACTAGATGATGACAGGAGCAGCCCCACACCCAGCTGTGACAACCAAAAATGTCTCCAGACATTGCCAAAATCACCCTCCGCTGAGAACCTCTGGTGTATACCCAAGCACACACACATTCCCTATTTTTTTCCTACGAATGCATACCATTCACACTACTTTTCATCTTCCTTTTTTTACTGTATATTAGAGACCATCCATCAGTAGTATACAGATTTCAAATTTTATTTGTATCTTGCTGTCAGTATAGTTATTTATAATGTTCATTATCTTAAGAACATTCTATTTTTTTATTTGGGGATTTTATTAATGACACCAAGGTATCTAACCAAAATCCAGCCACCTAAAAGTATCACTCTTACTAGTACATGCTAATTACTAAAAGTAATCAGGAGAAATACTCTATTTTAACAGAGTTCTACCTCTGCAAATAATAATAATGATAAACATTACAGCAGTATCCAATACTTATTAAGTGCTTACTGTGTGTCATACAGTGTTCAAAGTACTTTAGTTGCATAAATATATTTAATTCTCACAACAACCTTCTGAGGATGGTATAATACTGTTATCTCCATTTCACTACAGGAGGAAACCAACGTACAGAGATTTTCAGTAATTTACTTAAGGTCACACAAGTACAAGTGTCAGAGTCAGGGTTCAGATCCAGGCAGTCTGGCTCTGGTGTTCATCTCTAAACCACTACACTTTGTTACTCTTCAGTCAAAACGTACAAGTCTTAGACGGTTACATCTATATTTCTATTGGTTTCAATGGTGATCTTGAATATAAAGATGTTTGTTTAGTTAGTAAGGGCTAATGTCCCTGAATTTTACTATTGCATATATCCTGCATTTCCTAATACCAGTCCAGTCAACGTGTTCACAAAATATTTTCCTTATGTTTTTCTTTAGCTAACATTGAAATGATCATCTTTTGTAATAGGATCACATATAGAACTGTTAGGGTAGTTCTAAAAGTTATCCCACAGATAAGGAAAACTGTCCAAGTTAGAGATATCAATAAGAAGTCCAGTCCAATTAGGGAAAATACAGAGCACCTTTCCCCTCACACTTTTGGGCTCGCTGTCATACACGGCATTGCAATACATCTTCCCACAGACAGATTTGTGCTAATTTTACCAGCATAACCTGCTGGCTACCTCCCAAGCAGGGATTATGTATGTCTCATACATCTGCATATCTTCAAGTCTAACTTTGTATTCAGCACAAACAGCTCTATAAATGTTTGCTGAACTCAATCTAATTTTTAATTTCATTCCACAAAGTTCTTTCTCCTTCTATTTAACATCTTTCGACTGTTCACTACATGCCAAACACTGTGCAAAGGGATAAGGAATTCCTTATAAAAATGTTTGCAGAATGCAACTCAACAACAAAAAAAACCTGATTCAAAAATGGGCAAAGGACTTGAAAAGACATTTCTCCAAAGAAGACATACAAATGGCCAACAAGTACATGAGAAGTGCTCAACATGACTCATCACTAAGGCAGTGCAAATCAAAAGCATAATGACTATCACCTCAAACCCAGTAGGCTGGCAACTATCAAAAAACAAAAATAACAAGTCTTGGTGAAAATGTGGAAAAATTAGAACTGTTGTGCACTGTGTGGTGGGAATATAAAATAGTGCAGCCACTACGGAAAACAGTATGGCAGATCCTCAAAAACTTAAAAATAGAAACATTGTATGATCCAATAATCCTACTTCTAGGTATATACCAAAAAGAACTGACACCATGGACTTGAAGAAACATTTACACACCCACATTCATAGCATTATTCACAATAGCCAAGAGGTAAAACCCAAGTGTCCATCGATGGATGAATGGATTAAAAAAAAAAATGTGGAATATACATAAATAGAGTATTATTCAGCCTTAAAAGGAAGGAAATGGTGCAACATTAGATGCTACAACATGGATGAAACTTGAGGACATAAGTGAAATAATCCAGATACAAAAGGACAAATACTGTATGATTCCATTTATATGAGGTACCTAGAGTAGTCAAATTCATAGACAGAAACTAGAATGGTGGTTGCCAGGGGCTGGGGGAAGGGAAAAAAGGGATGTTAGGTAGTTTCAGTTTGAGATGATGAAAAGAGTTCTCTGGGATGGACGGTGGTGATGGCTGCACAACAATGTGAATATACTTCATGCCACTGAACTGTACACTTAAAAATGGTTAAAATGGTAAATTTTATGTTATGTGTATTTATCACAATTAAAAAAAAAAGTTTGCAGAAGAGCTGATAGTCTAGATTTCTTCAATGACTATCCAGCAGAATAAACTGAAGTTACGTCCTTGCCTTCCAAATAGTCATGTGACAAAAAAAACTTCCCTTAAACTCTAAAATCATAACAAAGGCCCCCAAGTGTGAGGAGTACACCATCCATGCTCTTACCCCAAACAGTACTGTCTTTCTGTTAATTCAATATGGAAAGACTAATGTTCAATTGTTTCATTTCTAGTTCCTACAGCTTGGGAATACAATTTCTAGTACTGAGCACCTTGCAACAGATTTTACTATACCTGAGCAATCTAAATCTCTTACATACATTAAAAATAAAACAAATTTCACTAGGTAGAATCAACACACAAAAGAAGGCTTTTCTATTAAGTCTTTGCTGGCCTATGGTCCCACTTGATATTTCTTGCTTTGCATTTCTAAAACATGTTCTAGTCACACTCATGGATCCCTGGAAAGATCACTTTACTATTTGATGTTGTAAACTGAATGGATTTATCTTCATCCTCAAACTCTTAACGGGAAAATAGTGTTTGCTTATGACTTAAAGTTTATGTAATGAAAGCACCATTAAAATGGAAAGAGATGACTATTTGTAATAGCTTCAAACAATGAACTTTCAGATATATGATGCTTATAGTTAAATGAGTTGGTAAAAATATTTTTAAGATTATGTCCTCTATAAATCTAACAGAAAACAAAGCAAAAGTTTCCTTACCTATTGTTTCCTGTCTATGGCAAGTGTTCAGTTCAGCCAGAAGCTGGTTAAAATCATCCTGATGAGCAATCCAGTTGTCCTGAAAACACCGAAAGAATCAGTTAGAGGCAAGTCTGCAGTTTACCTTCACTGGTTGAGATAAGATGTATTTTGGAATCAAGGAAATCTGGAGGTCAATATGAAATTTTAAATGTTTCATCAAAATATTTTATAAATTTGAATGGAGAAAATACAATCTAAATTTGAAATACAATTTATTTATATTAGTATTAAAAATGGGCTTCTTGGAAGCTTAAGTCCTGATTTCACATGTGGATAATTTATCAATAATCAATTTATAGTCAAATAATCAACAGGCAGCCTGTGTGCTAAATATTAAAATAAAGCAAAATAAAATTATTTTTTTCTAACACAAAATTATGTAAGTCAAAGGAAAAAGTCAGTGATGGACTTGGGGGCTGGCTCTCTTCTTTGATATCTGAAGCATTTGAGCTTCAGATATCTTGCCCAATTCTACCTGCTGGCATGGAACCCAATTTTATAAAATCATACTGGGGGAGGGAGAAAGGACTACAAGTTCCCTGAGTCAATCAGCACCCATTTGTAAGGTGGTAAGCTACTAAGTTCATTATAACAAAGAGAATCTAGCTTTAAGAGAGACTGAACATCTCCAAAACAATCTAAACCAGTGGGAGCAAGGTATCAATGTAGGAGTTTGCCTTACACCAACTTTTTTAAGACTGTTTAAGGTTTACTGGGCAATGCTTTTCCTAAAAAATTAAGTACATCTGCATATCTGTTTCTCAACAACTAACTTCAAAACCAACCTTATGTAAACTCTTTCTTTAATGGTTTAAAATTTTAGCTGTTGGTCCAGAAAATTTTAGCTGATGTAGTCTCCTACTCAGGGTTACTGAAAAAACCCAAGTACAGCTGACCCTTGAGCAACACAGGTTTGGAATGCACAGGTCCACCACTCGCACACTTTTTTTCCCCCACAATAAATACTGTAAATATATTTTCTCTTCCTTATGATTTCCTAATAACATTTGCTTTTCTCTAGTTTATTTTATTTTAAGAATATAGTATATATTACATATAACATACAAAATCTGTGTTAATCAACTGTTTATGTTATTGGTAAGGCTTCTGGTCAACAACAGGCTATTAGTTGTTAAGTTTTGGGGGAGTCAAAAGTTACATGTGGATTTTTGATTACATGGGTGCCAGTGTTCCAATCCCCGTGTTGTTCAAGGGTCAGCTGTAATTCAGTTTACCTAAAGTAATTCTCTAAATTTTCTACCAGATTTTATTAGCTGTAGAAATTTAAGAACAAAGCTTTCAGCTTAGACACTTTCTAAAGCAAATAATACTGAAAATGAAAAGCACAAGGCCATAAATTTTAATTACAGTGGCATATTTTCAAAGTGTCAGTGTTTAAGAGGAAGTCTGAATAAACTCAACTGCTGTATACCAAAAGTCAGAAACAGAAAACGGGACAGGAAAAGAACACCACTTTCTTGTAAAAGAAACCTTTAGTTTCTTTCTGAAACTAAATGTCACCAACTTTTAACAGTATAAGGTAATATTAGAATACAAGTAAAGATGAAAATTCCTCTGACCTGAAATGAGTATTTCTATAAAAAGAATGCTTTTTGCAAAGTTTAGCAATAAAACTAGTTTGGATCTCTGAGATATACGTAAAGAGCCACATAAGGACAATAAAGCAAGGTAAGGGCATGACACATGATGAAGACCCACTTACTTATGGGCTCTTAACCAAAATACGGAGCATACACACTTGAATGGTTAAAAACTGATCAATCAATTTGACTGAATTAAAATTTATAAATTTACAAAAAAAGTCAATTATGCAAGGGGACCCCCCCTCCCCTAGCAGACACACTGTTGCTCACTTCATTATTGATTGCAGCTCCAAGTCCCAGGTGGTTATTTTTAACTTGAACTTTTATATGATCTGTGGCTCCTTGCTCTTGAGCCCCTAAACCCTGTGGAGATTAAACATGGAGTTAGCTTTTTGATCAGGCATAAAGAATGATTATCTCAATGAATGATTCTTAAATAAAGTAGTAATAAGATAAATTTCAATTTTAAGAAGTGATATTAGTTTGAACTCATAATGACAAATCATTGGAAAGTTTAATAAAAGCAAATGTTGAGTAGGAAATGCTAATAGAAATATGAACTGTATATGTAATTCGTGAAAGCTGTCTGCCAATATTTACCAGTTGAATATTAATAAATTTTATGACCAAGAAAAAAAAAAGAGTGATTATCTCTATCCTCCTGCATCAACCATTCAATTAACTATTAAACATCTAGCAGCAAGGCACTATCCATGCCCTCAAAGAGGACACAGTCTAATGGACTCTCACAAGATATGTCTGTAATACCAAGGATGCACTTACAATAATGAATACCGATTCTTCAACCTGAGACCCAATTTAAGGCCCATGTAACACTATGGAGAACATGCCTTTTTCTGATGTTCTGGCACAAAACTACTAGGAGCCCACTGGAGGTGTTACGAGTTTACGGCTCGCTACATTAAATAATTTCACAAAACAACACTGAGAAGGGGAGAGGGAGACTCCAAGTCCCTGCATAAGTTAACAGTCATTTGTAAGGTGTCCCAGAGAGCCTGGTGTACTGGAGAACCTAATAGGCACCTAGGCGGCTTCCACAGAGTAAATGAAGAGGATCTGAGATGATATGAAGGGGGTACGCCTCGCAGGACCTTGGAAATAAATTATGGTAGAAATTTGAATTTCTTGTTTTTTAAAACAACGAGAAGCAACTAAACTTTTAAGCAAGGGAATGACATGATCTAATTTCTGTATTTTAAAAGCTCTTTCTGGCTGTTGTATGGCAAATGACCCAAAGGAGGAAAAGAAGGGAGATGAGGAAGCAGCTGAGAGGTTGCTGAGGGCAAGCAATGGCAGGGCTTGGAGTGGACGGTGCTCTGATTAGAGAATGATGACTGGGCACACAGGAAGTGAGAGAAATGGAGGAGCCGAGCATGGGTCCCATTTCTGGCTTGAGTAAGCAGGTAGGCAGGTTACCATTTGCAAAAATGGGGGAAAAATGATGTGAGGGATCAAGAGTTTTATAATAAAAAAGATAAACCTGAGATGCCTACTCAAGTGGAAATGTCACACAGGCTGATATTTAGAAATTTGGAGCTCAAAGGATAGATCTGAACTAGATACAGAAAAGTGACAGAATCAGATAATTCTCAGAATTTAGATAATCCAAAGCATGGTATGGAATGAATGAGTTCATCTAAGCAGAGTACAGAGAAGGGCCTGGGGTTGAACCCCAAGGAGCTCCAAAGTTCAAAAGTCTGGGAGAGGAAGAGCCAGCAACACTTTTAGCAGTGACTGGTAAGGCAGGAGGGAGGCCAGTACTGTGGAAGCCAAGACAGAAGTATTTCAAGAAGAAAGTAGTCCATTATGTCCAATGCTGCTAAGGGATTAAGTATGTGAGAACAAAAAAAGGGTCCACTGGACTTGGTAACAGGATCGTTAAAGACCTTGACAAGAAGTATTCAAGTGTGGAAATATCAGTAGAATTCCTCTTTGAGTAAGCAATAAGTGGAATATGAAGAAAAGGAGAAAATGTATCATAAAATATTACTCTTAGCAACATAAAACTCTCATGGTTAAGTATGATTCCAATTACAACTAATTAAAGGCACTGGCTATGAAAGATGCTAATCACACAGTTTAAATGATAAAAAAGAAAGTTGACATTTATGTTCAATTCTAACTTTACCATCACAAGGTCACTATAATTTACTTATTTCTCCAGAATCACTTATTGATCCAAAACATAAATTTTTCCCAGCCTCCTAAGAAAGACGCATTCTCCTGATTTGTAATCTCTTTGCATGGCTCCAATTTCTTTTGCACTTATCCAAAATACCTTTCCTTTAGACCACCCCATCTTCTCCAGCATCCTCTGGCCAAACTTGGAATCATCGTTACTCCATGCGGTATTTCTGGGATCCACAGCCCACTTCTGCTTCCGCCGACCTGGAAATGACACAGCATCTCATTAGCAACTTATCTTTCAAACCTGGGAAACACCACACAAAGACACACATGCCTAATACATACATACATAGTTGCATACTATGTTTTATTACATTATGTTTTATTAGATACAGATATCAGATGCAGCATCAAATTGGATCATTTACCCTGGATTCCCCAATAATTATATATTCTCAACATACAAATTGACCTTTTAAGACAAAAATAAAGATATTCCCTCCAAACGTGACAAATGGAAATAATAGCTATCCCATCAGTTGGGCCTCCCACATTCAGCTACAGGCAGCAACCTAATTAAAGGACCTGTCGACACCAGCGTCGTCATCACCATTGTAGTAGCAGCAGCAGTAGCAGCAGTTGTGATGACTTTTGTTGCCATATATTATGTGCCAAATGCTATCCACACATTATTAGGTTCAAGTTTCAGAGTAACCCAATGAAGGTAGATAGTCTTTTTTATTTTTTAATATTTTTATTGGGGAATTGGGGAAAGGAGAACAGACAAGTTGCTGTCCTTTTGTTCTTCAGTCTAGTTGTGGAGGACGTTGCTTCACTGGCCCAAGTTGGCACCATCATTGCGCTCTTCCCGGGCGAGGCAGATCAGTCGCCGGCTTCTGGACAGCCGTTCACGGCGGCTGCTGGCCGCTCACGCTGGCTGTTGGCTACACACGGGAGCCCATGGCAACCCACCTGCCGTCACTGGTGACTCACGGCAGCCCAGCTCCAGGTTGAGCTGTTGTTCAGCATCTTAGCTGTAGAGGGCAGTGTCACTGGCCCTCATATGTGGGATCCGAACCGGGGCCCTCTGGCGTCCCAAGCCAGGTCTTAACCAACGCGCCACTCGGCCGGCCCCAGAAAGTAGATATTCTTGTCTCCACTTTTCAGATGAGAAAATCTGAGGCATAAGGACAGAAATGCACCTAATGACCCCCAAGCAAAAACCAGAGCCTATTACACAAAACAAGGTAAAAAACATCAGAGCTATAGTCTTAGTCCACAATATCCAACAGTCATTATAATCCTGGAGCGAGTCGACTGTACCATCCATACCCATGATCTACAGATACTAATGACACCACCCCTTCTCACTGAAATGCCCTAAAGTCATATGACTCCTTCTACAAACTTCTGGAATAAATCATCTACTAATTTTTTGGCATTTAATTTACATTTTTCTGTATTATACCTATTTATATCCATCTCTTATGTTTCCTATTAGGCCATACTCTCCTATGGCTCACGAGGTGTCTTATTCTTTCTTAAGTTCCATTGCAAGAAATGAAAAACACTTTGTCCATAGCAGGCGCTCAGAAAATATGTAAATGAATGTACGAATGAATAAGAAAGAAGGAAGGAAGGGAGGAAGGAACAGAACAAAGGAACATAACTGAATTAAGGGACTGCTTTGAGTCTCTTCAAAGTAAGTTTTTTGTTTTATTTTGTTTTGTTTTTAATGCATCTAAATAACCATTAGGAACTCAAAATTATCGTTATAGTTTTAAGGAAAATTATGGAAGAGATATAGAAGCTCAAAAGTCCACAGGAAAAGAATATGAAACCCAAAAATAAACTGTGGCCAAGTGAGAAATTTGGAAGTCCAGTGTCACCATCACTCAAGTACCACACCAATCGACACCCAATATCTCACTATCAACAGCAGCCTCATGCTTGGCAGTCTTGTAACATAACTTAAAAAAATATCACAACCTCCAGTCAGAAAGGCTCACTGTGCTGCATGTAAAATCAATAAAGAAACCTATAACTATACACACCCTAGCAAAAATAAGTACACCTTTTATAAGAATGCAGGCAGAAAAGAGCTACTTATGAAGCAAGATAAGTTGTGCTGAAATTTAGTGTTTTCCAGGAAAACGGTGACCTAAAAATGCTTCTCGTGACTAAGTTATGTTAGTAAATACTCAGCATAACGTTGCCTCTGCTGATGAACAACATCCCAGAAACTAGCCTTGTTAAACCAGTGTTCTCTCTGTAAGGCTGCTTGCTGGTGTGTGTCAGAGTTCATCTCTGTACAGCAGTGCTTGCCAGGGCTCTGCCTGGGGCTTGTATGAAAGAGACATCTTTTGAGAGTGACTGAGCCCACCCCCTGCAATAAGAACTGATACAGTCTATGCCACATATGTATATGCAGCAGATTAGGATGCTTACACGAGAGATTGGATGGGTAAGCAAGGTCGCTTCTCTTCCCAGGGAAATGGCAGGTATCCTGAACCAATGGGGTAGGGCAGTGCTTCCCAAATGAGGCTGTGAAAGGCAAGGAAGCGCTCCCCATTAATTAAAAAAGAGTAATACCAGGTCCAACAAAATTTAATAGTGTTCCATACTAGGAACTTTCCCAGACTTTTAATATGCAAATGTGTAGAACCTCTTAGAGGAGGGCAGAAAAGACATGCCAAGTTTCCCTTATTTGACCAGATCTCCGCTTCCCTGGCACACTTTCTGGCTCTAGTGTTGTAGAAGTTTCCAGGTTTGGGAAATCCTGGCAAGGAAAACCGTCTCTGGCCTGTTCAGATTGGATCTACTTTTACATGTGCCATATTATTCTTATTCCACAGTCTGCTCTGTGCCCAGATGTCAGCTTTGCTAACACCTGTGTGCAGAGAAAAGCTAACACAGCAGGTCTGACTCACAGCCTCCCTTCCAAAGGCTTCCTTGCAAGGCTGGCTCTTGGCTGGAAATTTGGGTTTCAGGATCTCTACCGTGCTCAGAAATAACTGTTCATACAAACAATATGACTTCTGCTGAATACCAGCTTTCCTTCTGGAAGTCTGGAATGTTAGCACACACCAGGCAGGGGCTGCCTACGTGACCAGCCCCCAGTAACAAACCCTGGGCACTGAGTCTCTAACGAGCTTCCCCGGTAGGCAACATTTCACACGTGTTGCCACAAATCATACCAGGGGAATTAAGCATGTCATGTGTGCCTCTATTGAGAGAATACTCTGGAAGCTTTTGCCTGTTTCCCCTGCACTTTGCCCCATGTGTCTTTTCATTTTGCTGATTTTGCTGTGTATCCTTTAGACATAATAAATCTTAGCTGTGATTACAACTATATGCTGAGTCCTGTGTCCTAGCAAATCACTGAATCTGGGGATGGTCCTGGGGACACTTGACACTATATGGAACAGCAGCGTAAGGGACAGCACTGGGCTTCAGGGTATAGTGTCCAGAACCCACAGTTTCACGATCTGGGGTGATGTGTTTAACCGTCCTCTGGTGGGAACTCCTCTTATTTGGAGATCTAACTGTAAATGGTTCTGCCAGGATAGTTTTGGGGTAACCCCAATAAACAACCTTCATAGGACACCTACAAGGGACTTCCTTTCAATCACTCCATGCCTAATACTGTATGGCTTATGCCAGGATTCAACTTCCTCTGAAAGGTATGTTGACTTTCAAGAACTAAGGAAAAAAGTTTTGTGCTTCTTTTCCAAAGACACTTTCAGATATTCAAGAACACAAAATATACCACCCACGCATGCTTATGAACAAATTATTCAAGACATGTTCAAAGTTGAGGAAACTACAGTATATTATTTTAATGCAGTGAGCATTACAATCCACTCACTACAGTGTTGTGATTTTTTTGTTATTTTAATTATAAAATGTAATGATTCCAAGGATCAAAAATTGGTCTTGAAAAGAGTCTGCAAAAAGTAATAACTTGATAAAAATCTGAGTCTAAAACTCCAAATTATATAGACTGGGAAGTGAGAGTGATAAATGACATTCGTGTCTAGAGGAGGTCTGTGTAAGCCGGTTTTCTTGTCTATAACATCTGATGATTAAAGAAACACAGGATAAAGAGTATTTTTGAGAAACACAAAGAAAATTGCTATAAGATTTTAAAAACAGGGTGCCTGTGGTGAAGATAAAAGAAAACAAAATATAGTCCACTTCCAGCAGTGAAAATGTTGACTAGCTAATGTTAAGTAGAAAGAAAGAAGTAGGATACAAAACTGTGCCTACAGAATGATCCTGATTTTATAAACTATCAGAGAAAATAATTGCTGGGTGGTGAGATTATGTGACTAGAACTTTTCTATGATTCCATATTCTCATCTCTAAAATAAGAATACCAGTCCTAAATATCTAATCACAACATATGACACAGACGTTAACTTAGCAAATTTTTTAAAAAGATAACACATTATGTACTATCATGACAACGATTTGAAAATTTGTAGTCATGGTGGGGAGAAGAGAACTGAAAATATTCCCTTGAAATCATGCAATTTGAATTACTGATGTCTACAACTAGACTTTACATCTGTATACCACTTCATACTTTTAACTATTTTCACACTATCTCATTGATTTTTTTTAAGCCAACCTAGTGATGAAAACAACAAAAGAAGCTTTTAATACCTCCACAGAAACTGATCATGGAAAGGGATATAAATGAATAGCAGAGCCAGGGCTAATGTTCCCCGGTGCATACTGAATTAAACACACATGAAAGGATATTAAAACCAGAAGAGATCTCAGCGATGTACACTCTACGGTCATCACCTAAAACATATTCCTTTCCATGAGTCCCTACTTTCAAACAGTAGAAAACTGCTGGTCCTAACAAGAATGTAAAGACGTTGAGATAACCAGGCCAACTGTATCTGTAGTTCAACGACTTGGGGTGAATTATTTTGCTCTCAACCTCAATTCCTGCCCCTCTAAAATTGGAACAGGGCCTTACCCATTTCGTTTTGTGCTCACATTCCTTCATCCCCTCAGATAAGAGAATGCTGACAGCATTTATTTCACAAAATCCCTGTTGGTCTGTTAAGCTGTTTTCTGTTCATAGTTCATTACACGTTGCCAAAAAGTTACAGGCATCTCTTCAACACCAAGGCACGACTGCCCTCTGGTGGCAGAAAACCTCAGCTACAGGTACCATTCAGAAGTTGAACAGCCGATCCAGAGAAGGAATTAATGAACTTCATTCCACAAAGGGATGGTAAATGACAAAGGCAAACTGAGGCAGATACTCGTGTCATGAAGAGTGCTGATTCCAACAAAGTCAAAGCCGCCACAGTCTTACTTAGAATCACTCCTTAGCCCTACACACCTAAATATGCTGATTTCTTGGGTTTGATGTTACTAATCCCTTCGCTTTTCTGGGTTCAACATATCTTAAATACATCTTTTTCTGGGTTCAACACATCTTCGAGAATGAGATTTCACTGCGTAAGGAGATTCTGCCGGCCTAACCTCCTCTTTTCTAAACGGAGGAAGTTGAGGCCCGGGGAAGTGAAAAGTCGGGTTCCCACAACTGGTGTCCTGACTCTGATTCAAACCCACGGCGCGCGTGCCCAGCTCTGAACGTGCGACACTCGCAGTCTCTTTCACTAGCAGACCGGTAGCTCACTCTCGGGGAAGGCTGGGGTGGGAGATCTCCGCGGCAGGCAGGGCCAACCGAACTCGGCTTCCCAGTGCCCCGCCCGCGGCATCCTCCACCCCACTGCGCGCCAGCGACCCGCACCCCAGCCACAGGGTCCGGCCCGGCGCGTCACCCGGAACCTTCACCCGCGCGGCATGATCGGGCCCCCGCGCCCAACACTCACGCTCGGCCAGCATCGACATGTCGCAGAGCTTGCGATGCCGCGGACCTCCGGGTATGAGCAACTGGGGATGACCTGGTGCCGGGTCGCCTTCCAACTGGAACCACCAGACTCTTAAGCCAGGTGGACTGCCCCGGCGAGGGCGCGCGCTGGTTACGTCATTGAGGCGCGACCGGCTCCTTTACGACGCAGCGGCGAGGGGGCGGGGCGTGGACGGTCTGGGACGGGGCGGGGTCGGGGAGATGAGAGACCGTGGACGCCACGTGGGGAGAGGTTAGCGGTCGTCCGAGCTAAAGCAGGTGGACAGAGGAGTATGGAAACATTCGTTTTGAACAAATTTCTGTACTAAATGATGGACTATACGTAAAGCCTTTATAAGAGTGTGCCGCAGAGCAAGGGCTCTCATCACTCATTACTAAATGCCTGGCGTGGTGCCTTCTGGAAATAAGACTTGAACTCTGCCCTCAAGTAGCTCACAGTCTGATGAGGAAAATAAATGTAAACAACAGGCCTTGGGGCCATTAGCGTGATTAAGACGGTGTGGAGATGGAGTTTGAAAAAACTCGCCTGGCGGGGAAGACGGCACTGTGGTGTCCCATCTCTTCTTAATGTCCTACCTCTCTGCTCGCTGAGATGAGGGGGAGGGTGGCGGGAGGGAGAGAGAAGATCCCAAGTTAAGCAGATAATTAAATCTGGGGATTTAATTAACATGATACCTTCAACAAGACAAAGTTGTTTTTCTTCCCCCCTATTACAACGTGCACTCTGGAACTTGGCCTTTGTCACATTCATCTCTGTATCTATATCCGCACCTAGCAAAATAATTTGAATATAGATATTTGTGAATTTTAGCTGAAGTACTTCTGTCTCCAGGGGAGTTCTAATGAGATTCTGGCAATGAAAATGATAGTCAATAAGGACATGTATTTGGACAGTGAATTTCAGATTACAGTACAGACATAATTATGCCTTTCCTTTCATAAGTGGAACATAAAGAGAGCAGCCAGGTGCCAAGAAAAGCTATGTGAAGGGTTAGATTCCTGTTCTACATGAACTTGGCCTTTAACTCGGAGTCTAGACCAACAAGGTTAACTTCTCTGGTTTCATAAAAATCAGAAAAAGACAAAAGAATAGTTGCTGCTATTGGCGAATACCCGGGAGCTGAGGCGGGTGAGGAGATGCAAAATCAGTGGGATTTTCACATCCGACACAAGGAGCAGGTAAGTTGTGACATGGGGAACAGGATTAAAGTAGGAAGTTGGACTTGCACAAAATTAGGAGGGCAGGAGCATCCTGGTTTTAGGATAATTAGCTGATTTGTTTGATTAGACCAGAGAAAATGGAAGGTGGTTATATAGAGTGGACAACAGTGAATTGATCAGGAAGTAAGCATTTTTCAAGCACCACTGATGTTAGTATATGATTTCAGGAAGATAATTTTGTCTCTAACATGGTCACAAAGATTGAGGCAGAAGTTTGTAACACTGTTGCAGTGGTCCAGGTGATAGATGATCAGAACTAAATTAAGACAGTGAGTATGACAGTGAAGGGCAAGGAATGGTTGGTTGTGCCTTGTGATTCAGTGAGCTGTCTTTCCTGGAAATGTTCAATAAGAGGTCACAAAGAAATGTTGTAGCAGGGACTCTGTATTTGGGTGAATGTAGGATAGACTAATGGTTTCCAAGGTTTGTTCCAACTCCAGAATTCCTCGTATCTATGAAATATCTATGAGAATCATCTACTGAAAAAAACTATTGTTAAGTTTGGGATTTTTTAAAAAGTCACAGAATCTTATTTATATTTTATTCACTTATTTATATTTTAAATTTGTCGGCTGGGAGTGGACATTGTACTTTTAAAAGGAACGTGATTCAATTAAAGACATCCAGTCTTATTCTTCAGTCTCTTGGCAGACCCTCTTAGAGCAGTGCTTCTCAACCTTTACTGTGAATGTAAATAACCTGAGGATCTTTTAAAAATGCAGTTTCTGGTTCAGCAGGTCTGAGATGGGGCCAGAGATTCTGCATTTTTAACAAGCTTCCAAGGATGTGGATGCTAATGATCCACAGACCTTACTTTGTGTAGCAGGCAAACAAACAAAGGTATGCATGAACCCAGGATTAAAATATACTCTTTTTTTATTCCTGTTCAAGAAAAGTGTTTTACAAAGAACACCTTTAGGTGATGGTGACAAATTCTTTAAAATACTTCAAAGAACTGAACCTAGATGGTACTTGGATAAGTCATCTGAGCTAGTTCCCTGCCTTCAGGCAAGTAAAGACCAATAGCAAGGACACATAATTGCTACTTTTTTTTCTATAGCTCTAGTGAATCTCAATCTATTTCTCTCTCTCTCTCTCTCTC